CGGATCTGGAGGTGGAGTGGGAAAGCAACGCAGCTTCTGAGGTTGGTGGGCTCTTTTCGCACAGGGGAGCGTGACATCTTGTTGGTCTGTGAGATGATTTATTCATTCGTGTAGTAAAATTTAAAATGACGCCCCTGAGAAGATGAAGAAACAGTCGGGACCAAGTGAACCACGGCTGGCCGCCTGACGCCCGGGCGCTCTGACTTGAGCACCGCCAGGGGAAGGCTGCGGAGGCAAAAAGCAAGGCTGCTGACAGCCTAAGGCGCAGGAGAGGGTCTTCGCAGTGAAATGAACCGTGGGGAAAGTGACGCACTGTCTTCCAGGGTTGAGGGATCGGGTGCCCCGGGGAGGGCAGCCTGAACTTTACAGGCCCATCTCCTCGACCTTTCAAACTCGAAGCCGTCCTTCGTCCCAAAGCGAGCAGGAGTCCCTGTATTGTCAATTTCTCCAAAATACTAGAAGGTCACCCAGCCTTCTGCCCCTTCATGTAAAGTAAACCGGATTCACAACCTCTTCTCTGGCCTTGACATTAGGCTTTGGCGACTCAGGACTTCCCTTAGTCTTGGATTCCACTGCCTTCTCTAAAGACAAAAATTTCCAGGCCGCACTGGAATTTTAACTCCCTGAAATAACCGGGGTCCAAATTCAGGCTTGCCAGTATGGGTCCCCGGGTGATACGACAGATGAAAATTCTGGCGCCATCGTTGGGGAACACGCTGAGGCTTTGGGGAAAACTAATACTATTCTAGAAGGAGCCCTGGGTGGTGCCATGGTTAAGGTGCTGGGCTGCTAACCGAAAGACTGGTGGTTTGAATCCACCAGTCACTTCTCAGCGAGGAAAAAAAGATGTGGCAGTGTGGCAGTCTGCTTCCCTCAAGATTATAGCCTTGGAAACGATGAGGCAGTTCTACTGTGTTCTGTCAGGGTTGCTATTAATCGAAATCAACTCAAAGATAATGGTTTACTTTTTTTTTTTTTTTCCATAGTGATACCACTTCAGAAGCCCAAGAAGAGGTCACTAGGCATTGGATCCGACTCAACTGCTGAGGTTTTTTTTTTTTTTTTTTTTTTGTTATTCGGATGCGAATCCCACCTGGGGAGTGCCCTAGAGAATGTTACCGCTCTCTTGGGCGTTTCTCTGGCGAAGATGACTTGTAGGAGCTGGGCCCTGCAGTGTGACGGGCAGTTTGGGCGGGCGATTCCTTCGTGCCGCGTTTACACCTCTCCCTTTGTGACAAATCGATTTCCCGCGCCCGTGTTCTGCATTTGCGTCCCGCCGCGGCCTGGGCCCAGCTGCGCCCGGTGTACACTTAGCACCAGCTTGTGCGTGTGTGCATGTGTGAGCGCGTGTCTAATTGACTTTCCGTCTACCTTTTTATGACTACATGTGTTTCCAACAAAAGGTCTTATTAGGACAATCTGGTTTCACTAATTTAGAAGTTGGGAACGTGGAAGGCAGGAGCTTTTTTTCCTTCTTTAAGAGTTTGCAGAAGTTCAGATTAAGAAATGACAGTAGGATGCCCTGTCCTCCTCTGAGCTGGTCTGCCTATTTTTATGACCTGTTTCTCTTTCCTCTCCCTGACTACCCCAATACCACCACCACGCCCCCATTCACACTCCACACTACTCCATTAGCCACTGGAGTCCTAATAGTGTTGAAGAACCATATTTTCAACAACTTAAAGTATTTGAACCCAGAAGTTTGATAAATTTACTGTGCTGGGAGAATCAGTAAAAGGGGAAAGATATATATAGATAGATAGATAGATAGATAGATAGATATCAACTGAGAGAGTTAACAGTTTCTGGGGATGGAGAGGGATGGGCAGCCAGAAGACCTTATTTTGGACAATATTTAGTCATCTTTCTAAGCTTTGCCCAGGAGAGAATTCAAAAATCTGCAAAACAAAGAAAGATCTAATATTGAAGATGTAAGTGGAATCTGTTCTACCAATTTCAGCCACAAAGGAAATTTAGGAAGAGCAAAGACAAAAATTTTCCTAAATAGGTGGAAGAGTAAAAGCCCTCTTTCAAATATTCCCTCAATGTTTACCATTCTGGGGTAGAGTTCAAGTGGACTTCAAGGAGTCCCTGAATCCTGGTTTTTACCCACTGGGGAGCCTGTCCCAGCCCTCCCGTGCCCCTGAGACCAAGACTCCCCTCTTTGTCTAATTCACAGTGTGAGCCTCACCAATCACTCCACTCTGGCTGGGGACCCAGCTCCACCCATGGGTCCTGACTTCCTATAGCTCACTCACCTCCCTCTGCAACTCCTGACGGTGGTCCCCAAACTAAGGACAGTTGCTACTGCAAGGGACTTATCAGGCCCACATGTTCTCATCCCTGGCGAAGGTTGAGGAAACACTGCTCGATTCTAAAAGCAACAAATCATTTATCAGAAGAACAAACATTGGCCATCTCACAGAGAAGCAAACGGTGTAGGGGGTATGTGAGTGTTTTCTCAGGGACTTGCCAGCCCTGGAGACCCAGCACTTCCTCAGGTCCCCAAAACCTGAATCTGCAGTCTAAGGCTTCCTCCCAAAGCTATTTGTTGGCCACCCTTCTGCAGCTCATTCTCTCCTTAGCTGGTCCAAGAGGTGGCTCGAGGCCTCTGAGCCTCAGTTGCTTTCTGGAACCTCTCTCCCCCCTGAGCCTCACTACTCCTTTTTAACTATGAGATGTGCTCGAGTATTAAACTAGCCGATTCCCAGAGTCTCATCTCCTTTCCTCCAGACACAAAGTCTCCAACTCTTCTCAGGGCCCCGCTGTGTCTTTACGCTGGCGGAAGCCACGTGCGCTGCCTAGCCTGGAGGTGTCGCAGGAGCCATCATCCAGCCCCCGGCGGCTTCCCTGCCATAGCGGGCAGCCTTCATATCTTCTCGGGGGCACTCCCATGGCCAGCCCCCTCCGCCCAGCCTCTCTCCCTGCCAACTACGAGGCCAAAACGAAGTCTGAACTACCTTCTCACGTCATCCACTGGGTGCTAAACAACCGGTGTTGTCCACAATCCTTCAATCCTGCAATAATCCACGCCCACTGCGGCCATCCTGGGCCCAGGACTTGCTACAGCCTCTAACCTTGGGCCTGCTTTTCCCATCCCTCTTCCTTTTGGGGGGCAAAGAAACGCTGGCCAGTCTCTCCTGCTCCACCCTAGTCTTCTACGCAGCAGTTTCTTTGGGACCAGTTTTCTGCCGAAGAACCAGCCTCCATTTCTCTGAAGAGTAATTAGTTTTGATTCCCCATTAGCCATGGGAAACAAGGGCGGCAGAATATGCAAAACTGGTGGTGCTGGGTGCTAGGAACATGGGAATTATCGGTTTACTGGTCTCCCTACTTTTTATATTTTAAATTTTCCTTAGTTAAAATGTTTAAAAATAATCATAGTATTTCATAGTGCATTGTATTAGTACTCAAAGCGCCTACGCAAACACTTAACTACAGCTGCAGGCGAGTGCAACACCAGCAGCAACACAGGCACCCAAGTCCTAAATAGGACCCCTTCGCCTCTGCACGGAGTCCTCAGGACTCCGGGTTTTCATTTCTGAGTTGGCCAAATTTCCCTAGGGAAAGACCAGGCCAGACCCCCTCAGCCAGCGCCCATCGCCTTCTGTAGATGAGAGTAGCTAAAGTGGATCCACCTCTGGTCGTTTTTTGGCTAAAATTACCGAGAGGCACCCAGGCCTGGACCAAGAAAACAGGGCGAGGGATAGGGCCCTGGGGTAGAAAGAGGCTCTAACTGTGGTCTGCTTTAGCACAACCCTCCAAAGGCCCTGTTTTCAGCTGTTTTTGCGTCTGGTTTGTTTTGTAGGCCAATTTATTTACAGTCAAGAGATTGACACTGTGATTTGGAAATAATAAAATTCCAGTGTGATCTCTACTCCACAGGTTCCAAAGTTGAAGGAAAAAAAAAAAAAAAAGGCAGCAAATAATGACATGGAAAGCATAGTCTTCAGTTTAGAATTTGCAGACAAGTTTGGACTTTTACTAACTTATGAAAGGAGGAGAGGAGTGAATATCTGTATTTAGACAGTCTCATGTCATCTGGAATGAGCCAGATGACAGGTCTGTTACAGGCTCCGGGATGTATAAGTATAGTTGAAATCCTCTTTTAAAACACAATTGCTACTGAGAGGCAAGATCCAGACTGTCCTTTGACTTGGTGGTCTAGCGGCCAAGAAGGAGAGAGAGCTCCTGGAATCTGACAACTGGATTATGCATAAGAACCGGTACTTGTATTGCGCACCTACAAAGGTGAGGGGTCTTTAAGGTCTGTAGCTCTGGTTTCACACCTAAAGGACACTCTCTTTGCTTCGTACAAGTCTTCCCAAGGCAACCGGGTTTTGGGCTCTGCTGGAGTCTCCCAGCCCAGTGCAGGTGGAGGCGACGGCAGAAGCCACAGAGCAGCTCAGGCGACTGCGGCTTGGCGCTCGGGCTTGGCCTTCAGTGCCCTGCCTCGGTGCGCCGCCGGAGCCTTGCCCGACTCCCTCCCTATGTTCAGCGACTGTCGCCTCTGTGTATGTCGGATCCCGCACAGAGACCTTCTGACCCAACTCAGCATCTTTAACCCACCACCTTCTCAAACAGGGCGGGCTCCCGGAGTTTGCGCCGCCCAAGGACCTGTTTCCCAGCCCAGTCCCTGGTTCCGCACGCGCGGGATGAACAGGCAGGCGCGTACGCCGGTGAGGGAGAGGCTCCCCTGTTGGCCTCAGCAAAGCCAGTAGTGGTCAGAGTCCAGGACCCTGATCACGAAACTGAAGAGCTGCGCCTCGAGCTCCAAACCTCGCTCCAGCGACTGCTGGGTCCGATCCCTTCTCAACTCGCTCTTCCTCCCCAGGATGCGGCCAGCTCTTCCTCCTGGAACCGTCATCACTTTTCCTTGACCCCGACTTCCCACCCTGACCCGCCCTCGCTCTTGGACCTCGGGACCGGACGCACACGCGCGCGCACACACACACACACGCACACACGCACACCCCAGCTGGTATGCGCCCCTCACTCACTGTCCTGCTGCGGGGTGTCGCTGCCGCTGGTGAGTCCCGGCGACTCCAGCAGGCTCCGGCCCGCCTCGCCCACGCTCTCGTCAGCCTGCGCCGCCACCATGTCCCTGGCCTCCTCCAGGTCTAGCAGGTGACTGACGGAGAAGTTCTTTTTCGCCTGCAGGGTATCGAGGTTGCCGGGGCTGTCCAAGCGGCCGCCCAGCGCCGGCTGCCGCTCCAGAACGTGCCCGTAGCTGGAGGTCATGGTCTCCCCCTCCTATCCCACCCACCCCCCTCTTCCCGCTCGAATCAACACCAAACGCTGTGGGCGCGAGGGGGGAGAGGAACCGAGTGGGGAAGAGAGAGGGGGGAGTAAGGAGAGAGAGAGAGAAAGAGAGAGAGAGCTAGCGAAAGGGTGAGAGAGACAGAGAGAGAGAGAGAAGGAGGGGAAGGCCAAAAAAAAAAAAAAAAAAAGTGGAAAAGAGGGCGGGGGACCCCCTTCTGAAGAGCAGAGCTTTCTGCACCACCAGCCTCCACAGCCTCGACTATTTTCCTGAGGCCAAGTCCTGCGCGGTCCAAAGAGATAATCCACACCAAAAAATAGAATTAAGAAGTCACCCTGTGTTCAAGTCAGGAGAAAAAATTCCTTCCAGCTCTCCAAAAGCATCCACATGCACACACTAAAAATAATAATAAGGGGGAGAGAGGAAAGGGGAAGCCAGCAGGGCGGGGGAGTTAGGCAAACAGAAGAAGAGAGAAGAAGAGGTGGGAGAGAGGAATCAAAGTGGGTTTTTTTAAAAGGTTAAAAAAGTTATTCCCAGGCAAGAGTTCAAGCACCAACAGAAGAAGGCTTGTTCCAGCTTTAAAACATCTTCAAGAAAACGTGTTCCCCCCTCTCTGCACTCCTGTGGATTCTCAGGAGTGACTAAGGTTTCAGGAGGAGAGGGTGATGTCTTGCAGATGTATTGGAGAGCAGGATTCTCACTTTACTTTTCGTAAGAAAAAAAAAAACAAAAAAAAAAAAACCTAGGGCTTCAAGAGTCCGAAGGAGGGTGGTGGTGGGTTTCCCCCTTTTCTTTCTCTCTCTCCCCCTCTTCTTGCTGAACTTCTTTTTCCTTCTCAGTTGGATCAAGAAGCTCTCTGGCACTTCAAAAGGCACAAACTGGCATGCAGAGGAGGCTTTGTAGGGAATACAAGAAAATTGGAGACCCCTGGGAGGGCAGATCTCGACTTAATAGGAGCCTGTAATTACGTGGCAAAGCCTTTGTGCCGTGCCTGACGTTTTACAGACCCCCTTTCTCCAACACAATCTCCTTCTTCCTCCTTTCCCTCGGACCAAAAAAACAGTCTGATTAAGAAAACCCCCTTTGCCAACATCTGAGCAAGAGAGAAAGGGAGAGGGAGGGAGGGAGGGAGAAAGAGCGAAAGAGGGAGGAGGAAAAGAAGAGGGAAGGAGGAGGGAGCGAGAGAGTCCCTTTGGATTTCCTAAGTAAAGGTCTAATTATCATTCCCCTGCAATAGTATCACGGGGAGAAAAGACAAACTGAAACCCACAGTCACTTCAAACGGGCTGATTATTTTGCTTCGTCATTAACTCCTCCAGATTTGTTTAAGATTCTGTTGGAAAATCTCATTTGCATGTTTTGATAACAGCTGCGGGGGAAACTTGTTGGAAAAAATCCACAACTATCACAATCAAATTTTCTTCTTCTGCCTCCCCCCCCCCTCAGTGTTTCCTGCGGTTCTAAATGTTTCTTTGGGTGGGGTGAGGGGCTGAGAGAACAAGGGAGAAAGTAAGCAAGCTATGGAGTCTATGTTTGGCTCTGTAGAGACAGCATGTTAAATAATATAATAAAATAACAACAGCGATAATAATGGGAGGCTCTCCCATGCTTCTCCCAAAGACTAAAGGCAAATGGAGAGATCCAGGAGGTACTGAATCCATTCGAAACATTAACGCCCAAAAGGAATCCACACCCTCTACCCCGACAGTAGGAAATTTACATACTACTTAGCCCGGGGAATGTACTGTAGGAGAATATCATAATCGTTCCCACCTTCCTCCCCTCAACACACACTTACCCGCCTATTTCGTAACCTCTTTGGTGCGGACAAGGTCGCTTCCCCAAGCGACAAGGCTAAAGGGAGAGAGTCCCACTGCCCAGATGAAGATTAGACAGGGGCGTTCGGAAAGTGAGCAGTGTGGCTCAGGGTCTAGTGGGGGTGCAAGGGGTGGGCAGGTGAGGGGGGACGCAAAGGAACCCCATCTAAATCTACGGATAATGCTCTGTCGTCCGCTCTGCTGAGCCCCAACTTGACAGAGGGCAGAGAGGCGCTGAGCGATATTTTCATGACCTGTTGGAATTTGGTAACAGCTTTAATAGTCTCATTAGAAATGAGTTACTATATGACGAGTAAGTAAAATATTAAGTGCTTATTTGTGACGTTTTATGTTCTTTAAACACAAACACACTCCCTCACTCCTTTGATTGCTAGATTTTATTTATTTATTTATTTATTTAAATTTTCTGTAGCCAAGAGGCTCAACTGGAGAGAAAGAAGGGTCCGAATACGTGTAAATGGTTTCTGAGCTCCAACGGCCAAAGTTAGCCCAGAACTTCCAGCCCTGATCTGGGAAAAGAACATTTGATGCCATCAAAGGGCTGCAGATTGAAACCAGATGTGCTCGCCTCGGTTCTTTCCATGCATTTAATTAAGGAGCCGGTATGGAGGAGACTTTTTCATCATTAGTCCACCCATTCCCCCCTCCTGTTTTCACCCCTTCCCCCCACCCATGGCCCGCTAGCACCCCCGACCAGGAGCCCGGAGCCCCGCCAGCGCTGTGCAGTGCGCCTCGCCTGTTGCTCCTTTTCCCCAGAGGTCCCGGCTCTAAGCAGTAAACATCTGTCCCAGTCCCGGCCAGGGCGAGCCGCGCGGCCGACGAGCAGGACGCGCGTGGGGGCGGGCATGTACCCGGGTGGGCCAGCACCTAATGGGGTGTTGGGGGGCAGTGCCTTAGGTGGGGATTTCCAATGCAGCGGCGGCGACAAGCGCCTCACGTGCCAATGCCACCCACTCGAATGGACACGACTTAAATTGCACAGAGATATTTTCCCGGGGCGTCCGGCTGGATGCTTGTAGGTGGAAGGACTGAGGGGCGGTTTCTTCCGTCCCCTCCTACGGTGCGCCAGGCAAGGCTGGGTTTGTTCCCGCAGTAGGTGAGCCTTTTCCAATCTACCCAGAACTGGAGAATCCTTCCTCATTTCTTCTTCCTCCTCCTGCCTTATCCTCCCCTCTCATTTACAGGGTAGCATTATAATGTTTCTTTTACTCCTGACACTGACCGAACTGCCCTTTATGACAAAGGTCTGGGAAAGGAGTCAGGGCCCTTCTGGTTCTCCTGGGACAAGTTGCTTCCCTCAAAGACCAACCGACCTCCCGCCAGCTAGAGGGAGATGGCCCTTTGGAGGAAGTTGCCTTTTCAGGGTGTGCCATCATTATGGTTGGTGACCAAGAGGTAGCGACAGGGAAAAGAGGATCTAGATGGGCAGAAGTAAATCTGGTCTAACGTCTCCACTTATATTTTGAGGGGTTCTCCAGGAGGGATCCGCTGCTCCCCTAAAATCAGCCACTTGTCGTTCATGTTCATAAATAATATCAATCATACCGACTATGATGCATAAGGTTTCAACAAAAACACCATACAAACTACACATTTGCTGAATATTTGTCAACCAAATATATTATACATGTTATATATATATATATATATATATATATATATATATATAATGTCATACGTATTATGTTATATATATATATATATATATGTATATATATTTCATATATATGAATTTCTACACTCAGCGTCTTCTCAATCTATCCTGAGAGCTCAAATACCGCCCGATTGTGTGGGGCTGGTCCAGCCAAGGCAGCGCCTCTCCTACATCCAAAGAGGCTTAAGGCCCGGCAGTCGGTCGCGCCTTCTTTTAGGAATGGGGGAGGCCTTGGAAGATTTTTTGGGGCAGAGTGTCCCTGAGCCCAAAGCTGAAACGCGAGGTCAGAATCCCAAGGGACCTAAGGAAAAGCCTGGAGCCGGCGTCGAGGACAGAGTCTCGGCCGCAAGAAAGGGCGAGGCAGACGGTGGGGTCAGCCTTTCCTCTGAAACCTCCGGTGGCCGCCCGGAGCTCAAAAGACTCGAGGGTTTGTTCCACACTCCTGGGCAGCGGGTACTTCCCGGGGTGTTATTTCCGGCCTCAGCTGTAAGGCACTAGGCCCTGGCATCCACCGGCACGGATATCAGCCTGCGTTAGGAGTGGCGGGGAGGGCTGGGGTGACGAGTTCGGCGAGTCCCCAAGGAAGCAAATCCTCAAGGTAAAAGACCCTGCAGAAAATTTTCCCCTTGTTTTCGATCGTTGTGTTTTTCTCTTCCTTTTCTCTCTCTCCCTCCCTCCCGCCCCCCGCTTAAATTTCTACTAACAATTACAAATGATTTGGATCCACACTATAATTATAATTACATTCAATTTGCAATTTGTTGCGATTCTGAACTGTAATGAAAAACCATCAGAATTCAAGACAGGTCAATGGGCATGTTCACCTCATAAACAGCGAAGGCATCAGCTCCTTCGCAAAGCGGGCCCAGTGGGGAAGGCTCTCCCATTCCCCTCCAAGCTAGCGAGGACTCTGTGCCCAAAGCGCCCAGCAGCGTCCTAGGAGCCTCTACCCAGCGCACCCAGGGGCTGTCTAGGCGCCAGGCCCGGCTTGCTGGAGGGGTAGAGCGCCGGGAAAATTAGTGAACCGAAGTCTCTCAGCTCAGGTTGCAGGAACCAGGAAGGCCAAGCACCTTCAGAATGGTAGAAAGACCATCTGGCAAAAAGATGTGGAGAGGAGATTCAGGCAGAAGCTGTGCCTAATCTCCCAAGCAGGCTGCAGGCCTGGCCTTGGAACTCAGAAGGCCCCAGAGGAGCATGCTCTGATATAGCCCGTTTTGTTCCTGAATCGCCACTTAGCTTTCCCCTTCTGGCTTCCTTCTGAGGAGAGCTGGAACGCAGACACTTCTAACTCAAAATTTCTAAGCATGTGTGTAGGCCTTTCCTTGGTTTTAGCTTTGACGTCCATCCATCAATCAATATTTATTAAAATTTTGAATACTTAGATGATGTAATAACCAGAATTTTCTTCCACTTGACCCCTCCAGCATCTAAGAGTGGCCTTCCAATTCCTCTGTTTGTCAGACCATCTTTAAAGAACTCTTGGTTTTGGATTCCTCCTGGCAAAATTGGGACTAGCAAGGAACTAGCCAAGAGATC